ACAAGTCTCTTCTTCAGAGTCTTCTTCTCTACAAGTCCCAAAGATACATTCACACACAACTGTGCATATTCTACACGAGATACGAACATCTCTATTCTCATCTCATTTCTTTCTCCAGAGCTTCCCCAATTCAATATCCAGATTCTTCAAACCCTAAACCCAAACCGATTCACAAATTCCTCGGATTTCGTCCACTTCACTCCAGATTGATCCGAGGCGCCTCGAATTGTGTGACCATCCTCAAAGCTGGAGCAGCTAAAGACGATCGGCCGGGAGCTCGCCATGGGCTCCCAGGGCGGATTTGGGCAGTCCAAAGAGTTCCTCGACCTCATTAAATCCATCGGCGAGTCACGATCCAAGGCCGAGGAGGACCGCATTGTGGTGCGCGAAATCGAGACCTTGAAATCCAGGTTGTCCGATCCCAACACCCCGAAATTCAAGCTGAAGGAGTATTTAATCCGTCTACTTTATGTCGAGATGCTCGGTCACGATGCCTCTTTCGGGTACATCCACGCCGTCAAGATGACGCACGACGATAGTCTCTTGCTGAAGAGGACTGGGTACCTGGCTGTGACTTTGTTCCTGAACGAGGATCACGATTTGATTATCTTGATCGTGAACACGATACAGAAGGACTTGAAGAGTGACAACTATCTTGTTGTTTGTGCCGCCTTGAATGCAGTGTGCCGATTGATCAACGAGGAGACTATTCCGGCGGTACTTCCTCAGATTGTGGAGCTATTGGGGCATCAGAAGGAGACGGTGAGGAAGAAAGCGGTGATGGCACTTCACCGTTTCTTTCAGAGGGCTCCTGGGTCGGTTTCTCATCTTATTTCCAATTTCCGCAAGGTGCACATTCTCAGTTTGTGGGTGTTTGTTTGATTGGATCTTTAGAGTTTATGTTATTTTCTCTTATTTTGCTTTGATGGTACTTCTTGGCTGTTGCCTTAGCAATGTGATTTGGAAGCATTTGGATGCTCAGCTGTGGTGCATGTAACTGGGGGACTTGATTAGTTTGTTGAATGTTTGTATTATACCTTAGATTGAATAGCTGTAGAAAAATCATGCTTCTGCATGTGCTGCAAATCAATGGTGGAAAAGTGGAGTGGTATAGTTTTGTGTTTTCTTTAGGCTGTTAACTTCTAAAATAGAACAATTAGAAGTTGTTGTAAAGGTTAAATGCTCATATAGTGTTTTTTCACATCATTACATGTAAAAGATATAAGCGTGAAATGGAGAAGCAAATCAGAAATGCCCATGGAGGATTGAATAACTTTTAAATGGATTCTGAAATATTGTGACGATTTATCACGCTAGAAACTTGAATTTTTTCATAGTTGGATGTGAAGCAACTTCGCTTGGAATGCTTCGACATGGTCGTGATGGTATAGGAACTTTGAGTGTCTTGTATATCTCTGAGGTTATTGTATTTTTTATTTTAACTGAACAGTAAAGGAAGATGACACATAACCGTCTAACAAAGTGAAGCTCTTGTTTTTGTTTCGTTTCAATTGTAAGATGACCGTTAAGATATAATATGATGATAGGTGACTGAAAATTTGATGGCTAGTATTCAGTTGATTTTAACTTGTAAGAAAATAAAGGTTTTGGGGTTTTGTTTCAGAGGCTCTGTGACAATGATCCTGGTGTTATGGGTGCAACGCTTTGCCCTCTTTTTGATCTTATTGCAATTGATACGGACAAGTATAAGGATTTGGTTGTTAGTTTCGTCAACATTCTTAAACAAGTAGCTGAACGGAGACTACCAAAGAGTTACGATTATCATCAAATGCCTGCTCCTTTCATTCAGGTTAGGCTGTTTTCAATCTCGTCCCCTGTATTCATGCAGCTATATGATATATAAAATGCTCTCTCATTTTTACTGCAAATTTAAAATGAAAAATTGATGGAGATGGCTTAGGATAAATGCAATGTTAAAAGCTTGAATATGATTAGTTATCTCAAGGTTGCTACTTAACGTACTTGTTCTATATTATAATAATTTTTATGCTGTAGGTTGTCAAAAATGGCCGGGAAGGTATTGAAATGACATTGTGGAATTATTACTCTTTTGTAAAGGAAAGTTAAATTAAATGTACTGTGGGAGAAAAAGGCTATTTAACTGCATAGTAAAGAATTGTGGATGGCTAAATAGCTGTTCGCTTTTGCAAAGAGGATAACCTATATTCATTTACTTTATTTTATGCTTTCATTTTACTCGCCTCACTAATACAAACATTGTTCCTTTCTTTTGACAGATCAAATTGTTGAAAATTCTGGCCCTTCTAGGTAGTGGGGACAAAAAGGCCAGTGAACAAATGTACACAATTGTTGGTGACATTATGAGAAAAGGTGACTCAACAACGAATATTGGTAATGCCATTCTTTATGAATGTGTTTGCTGTGTTTCATCCTTACACCCTAACCCGAAGTTGCTAGAAGCTGCTGCTGACGCCATTGCAAAATTTTTGAAGGTCCGACTTTTGCACATTGGTTAATATTTTAAAATTGAATGTTATTTTCATTTGACATTATAACACTAACTAGATGTATATCCGATGGATAGAGCGACAGCCACAATCTGAAATATCTTGGTATTGATGCTCTTGGTAGACTGATAAAGATAAGCCCAGAAATAGCGGAACAACATCAACTGGCTGTTATTGATTGCTTAGAGGTGAGATGCATTGTTCCATTATCATAAAATTAAATTTTCAGATTGGATGTTACTGGCTGAAGGGCTGAATATCTTTTTAATATTTGATTGGCATGCTCTTACGTTCTCGACAGTCTCATGGGTATCTCATGCAAAATATTTTATAGATATAATGTGGGTTTTGCTGTATATTCTTGTTATAATGTGTTCTGAATACTAATAGGCACAATCACTTGTTCTACACATTTGAAATAAGTCTCATATGCTTACCTGTAATTTCAAAAGAAATTAAATAAGGAATTTAACGTTGGAGGAAACATAGTTTTAGAAACTTAAAAGAATATTGGAGATTTAGAGTGAGCCAAACTATTCCCAGGTAGTTGTGATTGCTCTTTGGAATCAACTTATAGAGCTAGATTTTCAAACATGATGTAGAAATAAGAACAATGACTTGGGCTGGTGATAGCATGCTTTTGATTACTGAAGTTATTGTCTGACTTGGATGCTAGTGCTAGTTTATAGTTTACTTGTTGGTTATTCTGACATTTGAGTTAAAATACATTCACAATGGAGGTTAATTGAGCTGTAACCTGCATTTTTTGTGATTCAGGATCCAGATGACACCCTGAAGCGCAAAACATTTGAATTACTATATAAAATGACCAAATCATCAAATGTAGAAGTGATTGTGGAACGTATGATTGAGTACATGATAAGTATCAGTGATAATCACTATAAAACTGAAATAGCATCCAGATGTGTCGAGCTTGCCGAACAATTTGCTCCAAGCAACCAATGGTTTATACAGGTAGGTTGGTGATATGATTTTCATAATAGTTTCTCATTATATATTAACTAAGTCTGAGGAGTTTTGATTTTCTGTTTGTTTTTACTTGTTTTATTTGCCAGACCATGAATAAAGTATTTGAGCACGCAGGGGACCTGGTCAATGCCAAAGTTGCACATAACTTGATGCGATTGATTGCTGAGGGATTTGGGGAGGATGATGATACTGCAGATAGTCAGCTTAGATCATCAGCTGTATGTTGTCCTTTAGGGTCCGACTTTTGTTTTTGTCCACACGTTTTGTCACTTAAGCTGTTAAATGCTCACTTATCTTCTGTGTTAATCTTCTTACTGATATTATGGTTCTTGCATCTCTCTTAGCATGGTACATGTTGATATGCCTGAACTGTTTCGGTTATGGTTTTTGCTATGTGTTTTATACGTAAGATGATAAATATTGCTTTGAGAATGATAAATTAGCAATGGTTCATATTATAAGCAAAATGTAATGGACTAATAGCTCATTATAACACACCCACATCTAGCTTTAATTGGTTTTAAGAAATTTCATTGACAGTAACGAGTTAATGTCTTATTTGCCGCTTGATTTCGTCGATTATCATGACATTTGGAAACAAAGGAACAAATAGACTACTATTCACTTGGTTTGGATGGAAATTATTGGAGAGGCCATTATGCCATATTTTTCCGTTTAAGGCCTCTCTTGTTCTGAACTTTTAATTAATATAAGTCTTCTTGAAACTTAAAAAAATTTAAATGTCAATTTTCTTTATGATGCAGAAGAATCAGTGCAATGCAAATCCTACTGTTTTCATAAAAGAAATGCAGAAAAACATGTGTATTGCTGCTTGGGGGTTAGGACATGTTAATAGTATCAGAGTCTGGCTGATATGAAATTTTAGAACGCCTTGCTGTCGTAGGTAAAATGCTACTGAAGAGAAAATAAATATATTTCCTGGTTCTTTTGACCTTCACAAACTCTACTATATCAGTGGCCTGACTGGCCTGTTTTTGGTTATGACTAGTTTTGTTGAGGACCATACAGATAAATGTGAGAAACTTTGAGACAACATTTCTAGCAATTTAAGTTCCTTGGTTTATCTAACGTTGGGTTCAATTAAAGGTGTTAGTAGAAGTCTAAAGACTTGTTCTCGCTTTATGCTTGAAAGCTCAGAAGACTTGAGAATATGCGAGTCAATTCTCGGTCTTAATTGTTGCAGATCTTGTCGCTCACATATATTTTATTCTTTTTTTATTAATTTGTCATCATCAACGTCATTATTATTATCATTATCATTGTTATTATTATTTGAGATTGTGGGAGTGAGTACTGAATAATGTATTTCTTCCATTGAATTGATTTTGTGGATCAAATATCTTTATTGGCTCCTTTTAGCACTTCTAATAAGAATCTGAATAATTGGTTGGGTGCAGGTGGAGTCTTATCTTCGAATTATGGGGGAACCAAAACTTCCATCTGCTTTTCTTCAAGTAAGTTATATCATGTTTTAATTTCCAACCTTCCTTCCCCTCCCAACCTGTGTTCTTCCACCAGTAGATTTCATCTGCTTTCTTTCTATTTTGAAGGTGATCTGTTGGGTGTTGGGAGAATATGGGACTACTGCTGATGGGAAGTATTCTGCCTCGTATATCACTGGGAAGTTGTGTGATGTGGCAGAGGCACATCCAGAAGATGACACAGTGAAAGTATGTATCTGGTTTATTATGTGCATTTCCATTAAAAGGATACTATTATGCTTGCCGATCGTGCTTTGGATTATTGTGCATGGGTTCTATTTTTTCTGTATTACTACTTTGGTGCTACCTCTTTGTAATGTTGTTCTGAATTTTGAAAATTAAAATAGTGGGGACTGACATATATTTGCATATATGCTATAGAATGGATCTTGTAGCTTTTCAACTGTTTCAGTTCTTTCCCAGAAGATGAAGTATTGCATCCTGATGTTTAGGCCAATATGTTGTCATTTGGAAAAACCAACTTGTGTAGCAAAATTTTCCCTTGAAGCTAGACTTAAGGGTTGGACTAATAAAAGGGATACAAAGCATTAAAGTTAATCTGATTTCATGTTTTAAGAGGACCAGCTGTTTAGCAAGGTCGTCTCTTGGTTGCCTCATTTGTTCAAACATAAATTTTTAGCATAATTCTACACTGACAAACTATTATTTCGTGTAATTCCTTGTTTCTTTTTTTTT